TCCAGGGCTGTTGGAAGTGTTTTGTTCTGGTTTGCTTTCCTTGGGGCCTCCAGTGGAGAGGCCAAGCTGGCAGCAGATGAAGTCTACTGTAATGTGAAGCCTGTGAATGTATGTTGGGTCTCTGCCATCATTATCAGAAGTACTGGTGCAGAAATGTGCAAAGGGAAGATTTTCAAATTAAGGTTGGCCTGAACATATAAATGTTAGCTTTCAAAGCTCAAGAAATAGTAAATTGTAGTCCATTAGTCTCCTACATTTTATTGCCTGTTTGGAATAATCATGGTCTTCAGAACATCCTTTAGTCTGAACTGGCTTGTGGTTGTATAAGAATGCAGCTTCTTTCTTCTTTATGCTTTATATACTCAGACGAGGAAACTTTAGTGCATTTTATAAATAAATCAGAGTTAAAAAGGAGATTTTCCCCCCGCCTTTTTCTCTTCACAGAGGCACATCTTTAAGGCATCTGACTGACGCGCTTACACGCAGCTCCACAGCTACGTCCACTGGAAACATAATCTTCAAAGTCACTTTTTTTTTTGCTTCTTACAGGGCACATTATTTGGAATCATGGTAAAACGAAATACTGTTCTTATATTATTGAGGAGCAGACCCTTTTCTTTTTCAAGTGCTGAAAAATTTAACTTCTATTTCATTACTTTGATGGAAATTAAAATGATACCTCATTAAAATGAATATCATCTTTTTATTTAAATAAGACAGATATTTTATGTTAAGACAGAAGATTTCAGAGTATGAATGGAGCTCAGTGTGTTTGTGTGGCTTAACTGGGCAGAAATACTGACTTTTATTGAGTGGTGTCTTCTGTGGTGGTCAGCTTCACCACTGTTAGCTTTGTAGGTGAGGTGGGACTAAAAATGAATTGAGACGCTTCACTCATTTCCTTGTGTCTTCTATTAAATATTAAATAGAAAGCAATATTTTAATATAAAACAATACTTGCCATCTGTCAATACTTTTTAATATGTGGAAAGACATTTATTATTATTAATGTTACTATACAACAGTCTAGTCAAGGCTATGATTTTTCTAGTAGCCATGTATGGATGTGAGAGTTGGACTATAAAGAAAGCTGAGTGCCAAAAAATTGATGCTTTTGAACTGTGGTGTTGGAGAAGACTCTTGAGAGTCCCTCAGACTGCAAGGAGGTCCAACCAGTCCATCCTAAAGGAAATCAATCCTGAACATTCGTTGGAAAGACTGATGCTGAAGCTGAAAGCTGCAATACTTTGGCCACCTGATGCCAAGAGCCGACTCATTGGAAAAGACCCTGATGCTGGGAAAGGTTGAAGGTGGGAGGAGAAGGGGATGACAGAAGATGAGATGGTTGGATGGCATCACCAACTCGACGGACATTAGTTTGAGCAGGCTCTGGGAGTTGGTGATGGACAGGGAGGCCTGGTGTGCTGCATTCCATGGGGTTGCAAAGAGTCAGACACAACTGAGTGACTGAACTGAACATACAGGACTTCCCTGGTGGCTCAGTGGTGAAGAATCCACCTGCCAATGCAGGAGATGCCCAGGAAACACAGGTTCAATCCCTGGGTTGGGGAGATCCCCTGGAGGAGGAAATGGCAACCCACTCCAGTATTTTGGCCTGGGAAATCCCATGGACAGAGGAGCCTGGTGTGCTGCAGTCCATGGGTTCACAAAAGAGTCAGAAGTGACTTAGTGACTAAACAACAACAGTAACAAATAACAACATATCAGTGAATATGCCGGATTGTATTTTCTCAAATGGCAAATGGGATGCAGGAAAACATTCCTCTTTGATTCCTGAAAACCTCAACATCATCTGTCTTTTTGGAGGATTCAGTTTCTTACCACATCTATGATTCTGTCCATGAGGATTCCAATGCTGCTTAGTATTGAAGAACATTTTACTAAGTTGCTCTATCATGGGTCCTGGCACTGAGTGTTCACTTTTTTCTTCTGATCTGGTTTTCAGCACAGCATCATGTGTTTCTTCATTATCATGCACAGGATCTGGCCGAGGGGTGGGTTTCGTGTGTATGTGCGGAATGTCCACAGAAGGGTGATGGCATACTGTTGCACTGCCATCAGACCCATCAGACGTCAGGCTAGAAATGTTCACTCAGAAGCAGTGGGCCTTACTGCACTAGGTTATAGTTTAACAAAGAGCATTTTTATTATGGTCTCAGTATATAACTGATCATGAATAAAACTTTGGACTTTGATTTTTGTAGTCAATTATAAAGTAAATGAACTAGATTTGGTAGTTAAGAATGAGATAAAATAGAGAAAATATTTGTCCTAGTAAATTGAAAGTATTTATAGTAACAGTAGCTCAGGTGAGTTATTGCACAAAAAATTTAAAACAACTCACTTTCAGCATTTACAGAAAAAGTTGATATTTCACATATTTTTATAAAATGTGTTAGAATTTTCTCCTGGCTAATTAGTGATGCATAATTTTAAATTATATGGTTTATAAATTTTTTGAGTTTTCAAAGTGAAGAGGAACTAAAGAGCCTCTTGATGAAGATGAAAGAGGAGAGTGAAAAAGCTGTCCTAAAACTCAGCATTCAGAAAACTCAGATCATGGTATCCGGTCCCATCACTTCATGGCAAATAGATGGGGAAAATATGGAAATAGCATCATGTTTCATTTTCTTGGGCTCCAAAATCAATGTGGATAGTGACTTAGCCACAAAATTAAAAGACACTTGCTCCTTGGAAGAATAGCTTAACAAACCTACACAGCATATTAAAAAACAAAGATATCACTTTGCCAACAAAGTCCATGCAGTCAAAACTCTGGTTTTTCCAGTAGTCATGTGTGGATGTGAGAGTTGGACCATATAGAAAGAAGGCTGAGTGCCAAAGAATTGATGCTTTTGAACTGTGGTGATGGAGAAGATTCTTGAGAGTTCCTTGGACTGCAAGGAGATCAATCCAGTCAATCTTAAAGGAAATCGGTCCTGAATATTCATTGAAAGGACTGATACTGAAGCTCCAATACTTTGGCCACCTGATGCAAAGAGCTGACTTATTGGAAAAGACCCTGATGCTGGGAAAGATTGAAAGCAGGAGGAGAAGGGGACGACAGAGGATGAGATGGTTGGATGGCATCACTGACTCCGTGGACATGAGTTTGAGCAAGCTCCAGGAAATGGTGAAGGACAGGGAAGCCTGGTGTGCTATAGTTCATGGGGTTGCAAAGAGTTGGGTATGATTGAGCGACTGAACAACAGAAAACAAGAGTTTTCAAATATTGTCCACTGTACTTTCTTTTCTAACATGAAACAGACTGAGCATGCGAATGTGGCCCTTTGAAAGCCTGTGGGAGACTTGGGGTGGTCCTCAAGCGTGGCAAGCATAGGATGAGTAGTCCCGGGGCTCACGGCGGAGGAGTAGCTCCTCTGCGTCCTGACCTCGCGACCTCGTGACCTCGTGGGGACCCTCGTCGTCAGCTGCAGCCTCCGCCTCAGCGCCCACGTCACAGCCCTCTCAGTGGAGCCTCTGGGTGACCGCTCCCGGTCAGCCGGAGCACAGTCCATCCAGCACTCGTGACAGCTCTCTGTCACAGTGGCCACCTGCCTCCTGGCCATGGGACCCCGTAGGGGTCCTTCTGTGAGGCACTTGTCTCATTCTGGGGACACTTTCTGAGCATAGGAAGCGGCATCAGAGACACCCGGAAAGCCACGGAGCAGCCAGAGCACGGGCTCCGCAGGGCCGCCGGGGCGCAGTCCCGCTAGGCCGTCAGTGACGTGGGGCCTCGGGCGCGGTCTCTGAGCCTGTTTCCTGTTCTGCAAATGGCCTTACACAAGCTGGCCGTGAGAATAAAGGAGAGAAGATGGGTTAAAATCATTCACGCAGCGCCCGGCACCCAGTCAGAGCTCAGTAGTGGCCAATATTAACATTCACACGTTTATACCCTAAAGTCTTACTTTTTGTTCTGTCAGCATACAGAGATTCCTCTTCTGTTGGTGGACCCGCTTGACTATTTCGTTTTAGTTCAAGGTACAAAGAAACACGGTGGTTACGGTTCACTTAGGCAAGTCTGCTGCGGGCAGGAGGTTGTGTCTGGCCGGCATGGCGCTCCACTGGGCCTGGCACCCCGTAGGTCGGCTCCTGCCAGACGTGCGTGTTAGAGGGGTTCCCGTGGTACCGTGTGCTTTTCTAAGCAAGATGTGAAAGATTGAGGGCAGGACGAGAAGGGGACAACAGAGGATGAGATGGCTGGATGGCATCACCGACTTGATGGACATGAGTTTGAGTAAACTCCAGGAATTGGTGATGGACAGGGAGGCCTGGTGTGCTGTGGTTCATGGGGTCGCAAAGAGCTGGACATGACTGAGCAACTGAACTGAACTGATTATTCACATACATAGAATTCATCCTTTCAAAGTGTACAGTTTTGCAGATTTTAGTATATCCACGGAGATGTGCGGCCATCACTACTCTCTAAGTCCAGCGTGTTTGTCACCCCCAGCCCCCTGTGAGTGAGCAGTCACCCCCAGCCCCCCGTCCCCCCAGCCCCTGGTGACCACTGACCTGCTTTCTCTGTCTCTGTGGGTTTGTCTGTTCTGGATGTTTCTCATAGATAGAATCATACGATATGTAAGCTTGTGACCTTGAGTCTGGCTCCTGTAACGTTGCAGTGTTTTTGAGATTTGTCCATGTTGCAGGTGCATCAGAGCTTCATGCCTTTTTGAGGCTGAATACTGTTCCTCACTGCTCCATCCATCGGGTGGTGGAGGTCCATGGTGATAAATAGTCTTGTTCTAGGAAAGTTGTTCAAAGCCAGTGTGTCCCTATCAGAATACACATTATGTGCTTATATCCTTCTTTCCTGAGACAAATCGTGTTACTCTCATCTTTTGAAGAGAGGTTTTATAACATTTGGATACTTCAGATAGAAATCTGGTCTGTACTTTAGAGAGACTTAAAGCTTGTTCTTTGACCAAACCTGGTTCTTTGGTTATGCGCTAACTCTGTGGCCTGTGTGGCCTCCCCAGGGAGAAGGAGGAGCAGCTGACCCGCGTGAGCGAGGGGCAGAGGCTCCAGGCACAGCAGGCGGACGCCGCGCTGGAGGAGTTCAAGCGGCAGGTGGAGCTGAACTCAGAGAAGGTCTACGCGGAGATGAAGGAGCAGGTGAGAGGCCGCCTCTGGGGCGGAGACGCGCAGGTCTCCCATGGGAAGCAGCGTGTTTACCGGCTCAGAAGGCTCTGCCAGGGTTAGCCCACCGTGGGTCGGGGCTTCAGGTGAGGGCCGGGGTGGACACCCACCTCCCGCAGAGCACCGGAAGGACGGGCAGCTCCTCTTGACTGAGACAAGCGCCCCGGAGGAGGGCTCAGCCGGCGGGGCCCTGCTGCCCTCCCACAGGGAGGCCTCCCTGGGCCGCGGGGGAGCCTCCGCTAGGCTGCTCCTGGTGGTGGGCAGGGGACAGAGCGCGGTGGAATGGGGCTGGGGGCCCTCCTCCCCACTCAGTGCCCCGATTCCTCTTGAAAGCAGTGCCAGAAACCATTCCAAGTCCTGTCCTTAGACGCGGTCATGGCCAGACTGTGCCAGGCTTTGGGACACGGGTCAGCTTAGATGTAAAACCCCATGACTGGTCATTTTCTCCAGAGCAAGGCCTGAAGTTACCCTCATCTGTGTCTGTCCATGTGCCGTAGATAGTGTTGCATTGGTCAGTTACGGCAAATTATTTTCTAGTGGCGTTTCAGGAGGACAGAGGCTGTCTCCGGTTCTTATGTAACCGGTATTTTGTATAGTTTTGAGAAAAAGTTAAAAAATTTATAGAAGAATAAAGGAAACAGACACCTAGGTACCCATCATGAAGAATCAACAATTGTCAACAGTGTTTATTTACATAAAATGTTACAGATATAGTTTCATTTTAATTTGCATTTCAAGTCTAATCACGTTATTCTCTCTCCTCTCTTCTCCTGGTCTTTTCAGGAGAGCTCATACTATAATTAATGTATTGTGTATCATTTCAGTGTATGTATACTTTCATATGCACATGTAATGTCCGTAAGTACCACATGCATGTATTTTACATATATACATATGTGTATAATTTCTATGCTTCCATTTTTGAAAAGTCAAAGACTACAGATTTTATGTCTCAGTCTTGTGCACACTTGTACACTGAATTTTATATAGCTGTGGACTACCTGTAGATTTAGTGCAATGCTTTTAACATTGTATGTGTTTTATCATATGTATATACCATATTTTATATATCAGCTCCCCTATTTGAGAGCATTTAGTTGATTTTCAGGTTTTCTTAACTGTTAAGAGTGTTACAGTACTTGTTTGTGATTTCATTTTCAGCTGCAGTTTTCTTCCTCGGGGCCTGAGCACTCACATATGGTAGAAACGTCCCTGTGGAAGGTCACGGGCACAGCCTGTGGGGTTTACAGAACTGGGACTGTGCTTCCTTATTATTTCCTTGATTTGGATTGTGTGGACCTGGGTCCTGAGAGCAAGGTTTGAGACCCCCACTCACTGCCTTGGGCGAAAGCCAGACTCCTGGTAGAATTTGCGGCTGGAAGGAGGGCCGTTCGGTGCCCGCTCCTGGGCGTTTGTCTCTTCCCGGCTCCCTGCTGTGACCAGAGGCCAGGCCCAGGGGAGGCCTGTCTGCTCAGATGTGCAGCGGCGCTCCCAGGGAGCTCTGTGATCAGCTTAACATTTAAAGGGACACAGAGAATGTTGAAGGAGGGGGCCCCTGGCAAGAAGTCTTGAGCATACCCTGAAGAAGGCTAAAAAAGGGGCTTTTGAAAGTGCCAAGGCTGACATTACAACTTTCCGATAAAAGCTAAAACCACAGCAGGCACCTTTGGCTCAATAAATACACCTTTGGGCGTTGGTGATGCAATATTAACAAACTGCCCAATAATGGGTCAGGAGAAAAACAAGCAAACAATATGGGACTTGTGAAAACATTTTGTAGAACAAGAAAAAGACATTTGTATCCAGCAGTCACAGAATAAAAGCACACTTTTGAAACCAGTCTACTGTAGAATTCAGGGAAAAGAAAAAACCAAAAAACCTCAGAGAAGCAGTACCTTTAGTGAGAATACATGATCTATATGAAAGAGGCACATACATCAAGTAAAATTAATGCAATTAAATCTAGATACCTTTTGGAAAAGTACTTAACATCAAGAATAAAATGGAAATCCAATAAGTTTCTAGCCAGAATGAAACTGGAAAAGAAATTGGAGAAAAAATGGAGTTTTGAAGGAGAAAGGCTGTGACCCAATTTTATACATAACCAAGGAGCTTCTCACTTCCAGAATCAACAGAAAAACACTTTATTAGTAAGAGTTCACATAATGTATACTGATTGTTTCTTCTCTGGAAAAAAATTATATCAATTCAGAGCAGAAGACACCCAGCACGTGGGGAAACCATCGTAGTAAAGGATGAGCCGAGAACAGTGGGGTCCAACAAGACAAAAGCAAAGCCAGCAGGCTGTCACACCTCTAGTCATGAGATAGAACGCCGCAGAAGGCGTCTAGTATAGAAAGTACAAATCTGATAACAACAGATAATCTGAATCCTCAGGTCACATTAGTAAAGTTCACGAAGCTTGGATCAGGATGGGGGAGTACAGTGGCCAGCACTCTGCCATGAGATGAGACTCAAAGGATTCGCGAGATGAGGGATGTAGGTTAAAACATTCTTTAGATGTATAAAACAGGCATTAACAAAATTAACAAGATGGTACATTCTCATAAAAATCTTGAGAAGATAAAAGCAAAACTTGAGATATTGCCTAAGAAATAGAGGTAGAAACAGAAGAAAAATGTCCAAAATAAGACAGAGTATATAGCTGTAGTAATAAATAGTGATAGGTTAAGTTTTTCTAATAAGAAAGGTATTGATTAGCTGACTTAAATGAGTATATACTATTTATAAAACATACAACTAAAAGTTACACAAAAGTTATATATAGAAAATATATCTTATCACTTGTATTCAGAATTAAAGAAAATGTAATACTGTCATATAAATTAACATCAACACAAGTCAGTAAACTGGACAAAGGAGTCTATTTTTGCTTGAGAAAGCCAAGAGTCCTTATGAAATGTGTAAGGAATACATGAAAAAATTGCCATAGTCATGGGATGCTTTAATAAATTTTTCTCCATTCTTGACTGCTCAGGGGGCCAAAACCTAAACAAATAGGAGATCTAAATAGCAGTTTATAAAACTACCATATTTCTACTTCCCACTGTTTAAATATGACATATTAAATTCTTACTCCAGTGGAGCAGTTACAGAACTAAGTAAACCAATAAATTTCTGAAACTTGACTGCACATACTTTTAACACAGTGCTTATTAGTAAAACCAGAAATTAAATTTCAATTAAAATTGCTACATTCACCAAAAACTTTTGTTTTTTGAAAGACACCATTAAAAACAAGAGGAAGTTAAGGCAAGCCAGAGAATTGGAAAATAAAGGATTCACAAATATTTTCAAGAACTCATATCTAAAATATAAAAGAAATCTTACAACACAATAAGCAGAAGACAACCCAGTTAAAAATAGACGGAATATTTGGACATCTCAGAGAAGACTAATAAGCACATAAAGAGATGTTCAGTATTATCATTCGTCAAGGAAATACAAACTAAAACCAAGCAAGATGCCACTGTGTGCTCTTGGAAAAGGTTAAAATTGTAAAGATGAACTGAGGGTGCCAAACATTGGTAAAGGTGTGGTCAGATGTGGTACTTTCACACTGCCAGTGCAAAAATGTTCAACATACACAACCGTCTGTCAGCCGTTCCCTTCCTGTATGTTTAACCAGGAGAATCGAAGTCATATCCAGACAAAGACTTGAACACAAAAGTTGTCAGCAACTTTGTTCACAAAAGCCCAAAACTTGAACAACCCGAATATTCCTCAGAAGTTGAAAGGACAATCGAGATGCAGTGTATACCATGGAATGTGACTTGGGAATAAAACAGAGTGAACTGCTGATACCTGCAACAAAGGACGTGTCTCAGAAGTCCTGCTGAAGGGAAGAAGCCATGAACAAACAGGGTTCATGCTGTGTGCTCTGTACGTCTAATTGATGTCAGAACTCCCCAGATGATGTCAGCGTTTCTGTTTTGGCAGTGCCCGCCTGATTTGTTTCAGAGCAGAAGCCTCCTCTTCTGTGGGTGGGCTCCAGCTTCAGACCAGTTTCTGTCCTTTGCTGTGCCGGTCTGCTGGGCTGGGGCACTCAGGAGCACATCTAGACTTGTGGCGATTTAAACCCCTCCACCCAGGAACTCCAGGCATTCATGGGACATTCTCCAGAGTAGACCATGTGCTTGGCCATGAAACAGTACTCAGTAAATCTTAAAAGGACTCAGAAGATCTTAAAATCATACAAAATGTGTTCCTTGACCCCGATAATAAATTAGAAACAAACAATAAGAAGAAATCTGGGAAAACACCACATGTTTGGAAATTAAATAAGACACTTATGAGTAACTCATGGAGTAAAGGAGATATTACGTTAAAATTAGGAATTATTTTGAACTGAATTAAAATGAAAACATGGCATGTCAAAGTTTACAGAATGCAGCTAACACAGTACTTAGAGAAAAGCTTGTAACATCTGTCTCCAGGAAGAACATTCTCAAATCAGTAACCTAGTTTTTGTCTTAAAAAACCAGAACAGGGAAAGCAGGCTTCTGCTCAAGGAAGCAGAATAAACGAAATCATAGATATTTACATATATATGTATTTATGGAAAGCAAAGAAGTAGAAAACATTAAACTAGAGAAAGTCAATGAAGCCAAAATTTGGCTCCTTGAAAAGATCGAACAAAATTGACAAATTTAGCTTGACTGCTGAGGGTAAAATACAAAAAGTGAGGAGAAACAAATGACCAAAGCTAGGGATGCAAAAGGAAAGGACACTGCTGTTGATCTTATAGAAAATGAAATAATTATAACGTGATATTTTAAACACTTGATGCCAACAAACAACAAAAACTTAGGTGAGATGGACAAATTCCTAGGAAGATGCAAATTATTAAAACTGTCTAAAGAAGAGATAGAAAGTCCAAATTGTCCTATGATAGATAAGGATATTTAATTAGCAACTAAAACTCTTTTCACAAGGAAAAGCCCAGGACCAGATGG